TCTATACGTTTCAGCCACAGAAATCGGCTATTTCAGCTAGTGAAATTTGATATACTTTTAACCACAGACCGCCGTGGGTAAAAGAATAGTGAAATCTGACATACTTTTAGCCACAGAACGCCGTGGCTAAAAAGTATAGTTAAATCTGGTATACTTTTCAGCCACAGAACGCCGTGGCTCAAAGGTTAGTGAAATCTGATATACTTTTAGCCACAGACTGCCGTGGCTAAAAGTATAGTGAAATCTGATATACTTTTAGCCACAGAACGCCGTGGCTAAAAATTATTGTTAAATCTGGCATACTTTTCAGCCACATGCCGCCGTGACTAAAAGTATAGTGAAATCTGATATACTTTTTAACCACAGAACGCCGTGGCTAAAAGTATAGTGAAATCTGATATACTTTTAGCCACGGAATGCCGTGGCTAAAAAGTATAGTTAAATCTGGTATACTTATCAGCGACAGAACGTCGTGGCTAAAAGTATAGTTAAATCTCGTATACTTATCAGCCACAGACGGTAAGGATAAATACTTTTTTTAATTCGACTTGGCTTATGGATCGGGCGACCATAATAAAAAGTGAGGAAAAAATCGAAAAACTCTTCAACTCTCTGCCAATAAAAGTTTAATTCCGCTTCATTGAAACATGGCCTATCGAAGGGGAGATGGGTGTGAAACTCATTAGAATAACAATACAACTCGTTATCTATGTTGGTCAACGTTTATTCATAAATCTGATCCTTCACCGTCACGTGTGTGTTGTATTTTTACCCAACTAACCAATAGCAATGTTTTAGGAAAGTCACCTATCCGTGACTCGAACAATAGGGAAACTGGAAATTGCTATTGGTGGATTTGGCAGAAATACAATGCACACATGACGGTGAAGGACCAAAGTCATGAATACACGTTGACTAACACAGATAATGATTATACTGTTATTCTAATGAGTTTCACAGCCATCTCCCCTTCGATAGGCTATGATTGAAAATAAAACCCGAATATAGGGACTCCCTAAATTGAATGAAATCGTTTACGGTTATAAAATACTAACTTTGAAATATCTTTGCCAGTGCAGGTAGTACCAATCAAATGAACAAGCTTTCGTTATTAGTGGGGATGCAACTACCTGAAAAATATATAAGGAGAATGAACCATTCCCCAATTAACCAAAATTTTGAACTCAACACTGAGTCTAGACAAAAATTGCATCACAGCTTGAAAGAGCATCACAAAATTAGTAATATTCCAAAGTTTCTGTGCAAAATGTTGTAAAATGCGGATAATATAGCCTTGCGAAGTTTGCAATTTTCAGTCATTTTAGATTACAAACGGGAAATGCAGGTTATACCACTTCGGTATAACCTGCATTATAAGGCTATATTATCCGCATTATACAACATTTTGCAACGAAACTTTGGAATATTACTAATTTTGTGATGCTCTTTCAAGCTGTTATGAAATTTTTGTTTAGGCTAGTTAAGATCAAAATTTTGGAAAAGTGATAACCATTTCCCATTTGTAATCTAAAATGACTGAAAATTGCAAATTTCGCAAGGCTATATTATCCGCATTTTACAACATTTCGCAACGAAACTTTGGAGTATTACTAATTTTGTGATGCTCTTTCATGCTATGAAGGAATTTTTTCTAGACTTGTTGAGTTCAAAATTTTGGTTAATTGGGAAATGGTCCATTAACCCTGAAAAACTGGTATAAGATGGATACATGGTTATACTTAATTCTTGCATGCATATATATTCTGATCGAACGGTACATATATATACATATGCACAGGCAATTATAGTTGCTTTTATAATTGTTCA